GCTAGAAGTTTAGGGAATAGATCCGGGTCACTGAAATCTTTCTGCCATCCTCTCATAACTGACTGCGAGAGGGGTGATAGGAATAAAGCTTGTAGTTTTGAGTACGCCGTGGAGATGGAATAGGATTTGCTGGAGATGAGGACATCTAAAAACGATGAGGATAAAAGTACTCTCGGTGTTCCTTAGAAGCTACGCCACCTAGATTTTAACTGTAGGAAGTGTAGAAAGTCACCGGAGGGAATATGATATTGTTGCCTCAGTTCCTGGAAGGAGTAAGGTGAGAAAGAACGTGGGTGAAATAGTTGACTCCAGTGGTGTAATCCTTTCTCCTTCCATTTATGAAATGCTGAATAATCCACTCCTTGGGTGAACTGGGGCTGACCCAATATTGGACAGTAGGGAGACATTCCCAGGGGAGCTAGTGTTTTCCTCACCTCCCTCCATGCAATGATCATGTCCTTCATCAAAGTTATGTGTCAGATATTTTGGGGTAGGGAGGAGATTTTACAGTGGAGAACAGCCTTGAGATACCATGGAGCAATCAGCTCTGCTTCCAGGTGGGTCTGTATGATCCCGGAATCGTGGGGTGCCTCCCCTCCTTCGGTATTAATTTAATATAAGCCTCTTTCCCTGTTACCGGGTATGGAGAGCCATCCCACACCGTTGAGAATAGGGAGTGAAGGGAGTCTACAATATCTACCTGAATAATTTTATAGAATTCCGCCGTATACCCGTCCGGTCCTGGGGCTTTCCCACTCCCTAAATTTTTATTTACCGATGCTATTTCCTCTTGAGAGATATCTAGATTCAGAGATTGCAGTTGATCCTGGGTCAGGCGCGGAAGGTGCACCGCTCCCAAAAAGCGGTCCGCCGCCTCACTATCAAATGCATCCTCAGAATAGAAAAGTCCTCCAAGATTTTATTAATCACCTTCGGATCATCTGATTGGGTTCCACCCGGATGCTGGAGTCTAGAGATATGGGTAGGGCGATATCGGCCTTTCGCTAGTCTGGCCAAAAGTTTTCTTGTCTTGTTGCCATACTTATGCAATCCTAGATTATAGTAAGCGGAACTGATCTGTTCCTGACTATGCCCACATGTCAAATTGAGTTCTAGCACTTTCCCAGGTTGTCCGGTTCTGTATAGAGGAGTCAGACACCAGCATCCGCCGTGCTGTCCGTAGGGTCTCGCTGGCTTCTTTATACGCTTGCAGTGTTCGCTTTTTATAAGCCGCAACATACGTCAGCCCGCTGCTTCTCACATGGGCGCTGGACCCGGAAGTATAGAATTGTTTTAATAAAAGATTACAGAATCCCCTCTGTGCTATTCAGTAGGTTTTTGGTTTTTTTTTGCAGTGAATACGAGTGAGAGATTCACAATTTTACCTCCAACAGTGCTTCTGCCTACTGGATAATGGCTTTGGTTTGATATTTAAATAATACAGAGAATACTGGCCAAAATGCAGTTCATTTGTGACTGTGGAGTCGGTGGACTATATTAGGTCATATACGCTTACAGATTGCTTTAAGAACACCCAGGGTAAACCGGCTCCTGACAAATTTAGAAGGAAAGCTGTGCTGTCATTTCATTGTTGAGTTGATTCTCCAAAATCCCTAGGGATAACTTCTTTTTCTAACCAGATCATCTCTCCAGGATAGGATTTTAGCTCTGGGGAAGAATTATAAATATAATCAGATTAGATGTGTAATGTGGAATGTGGATTTTTGTTAGATTAATTAAGCAATTATTTCTGTAGGACATCTATTTAAAGCCTTTTAAGCTTATCTTTAAAAAAATCTTATACTGTGCTTGTATTGCACTTTTGTTTTGGTTTCAATTGAATGGAATTAATATTTAAATACAGTTATACAAAACAGATACTATTATATGCTTTGTAACTGTAGAATTTAAAAATAATTTTAGTCTGATCAGTTCATCTTCACCTGCTTGTTCCTACTTGCTAATTGTTTAACTGTATACCATCCATTGCTACTCTAAATTCATAACTGTTTAATAAGAAAATTCACTCTGTGTCAGAGCATTAATATAGAAGGCATTTTATACATTTATGTAATCTATGTAGGAAATAGGTCTGAATACTCACAACATTTTCAGTATAAATATTTATGTTTGTATTGCTGTTTTCATTTGAACAGATGGAGGATGTTAGTGTAAGAGGGCATGTGAGTAATGCTGATCTCAGAGCATAAAGTTTCCCAGACTATAGAGAAAAGAGAAGAAAATAAAGAAATAAGAGAGAGTATAGGCAGTGTAGATGTTTGAAAGGATAAACAGTGGGGGCATAGACAGCCAATGGGAAGGAGAGACAGGAGGTGAATGGCTGGGGAGAAGTATAAGTAGGGGGAGAGGGGAGAGATGGGATGAGACTGAGAGAGGGCAAGTGTGCAGAAACAGGTAGGTGGACATGATTGTAAATGGACAATTAGCAGAATGCTTGAAGAGTGTAATAAGGGTTGAAGAGACAACTATTGGAAAGCTGTAAGACAAAACCAGCACTCCAAGCGTCAGGGTCATTATTGTGGGCAAGATTCAGTCCGGGAAAGCACTAAACAAACAAAACACACATGGACCCTTTTCCAGAGCTAACCATCCCCATACACCAGGCATGAGAGTTGGTATTTCCATAACAATGGAGTGTGCAGCCTACCTTCAGAATTGCAAAGATGCTCTAAAATGGCTTCCCCCAAAAGAAAGGATCCTCAAAGATTGCTGGTACCTGATGCTGATGTGCACCAAACTCTTTGGCACTCACGGTGCCAAGGAGGGGGTGCCAGTGTTTCATGAAGGACATGCAAGTTGCCATGAACCTAGCAATGGGGCTGCAAGCTCGCCACACTCTTACTATGGGTGTATCAGACCTCCTGTCTGGTTTGCTGGACTGAATAGCTTTTGTAGGGGGCAACATTTTTTTTTGATACTTAGCCTTTTTAGTGCTGAAGCTTTATTTAAACACAGTTTTATCACTTTAGAGAGCTCCTTTGGTTAAAGTCACCTGAAAGCTTTTTTACAGCTACTGTACAAGGGACATCTGACTGCTGTTCGTTGGCTGCTACATTCCCTGGTGTACATTCATCCTATTTTAAATAGGTTGGATGTGACTGAGGAATGCTAAGCGAATTCCGTTGGATGTCACTTGAGTAAATATCAGTAAAAGATTCACTGAGTGAATTTCTCAGTGAATCCTTTATAAATAGACCCCATTGTAATAACTATTAAACTGTTAAATACTACCATGAAAAGATTTTGCAGTATTAGAAGTTAAGCCCCATATGATTTTTTTTTACTAACTAATGTTAAAAACATGGTAACAGCAATATCTATACTGTGCTTAAGTAGAAAATAATGTGAGGATTGTGGATTCCTGACCAAAATGGGATGGGAGCACAATTGACCTCTTGCCGTCCGCCCGTTGTAAAAAAACGGACGGACGGCACTGCAGCATTGGCAGGTTGCCGTCTCTAGCGGGCACGCACGGGCAGAAAAGACCCGACCATTGCACACACCCGTTACCGGTGTTTCACATATAGGCGATCAGCAGCTCCATAGCCCGCCAATCGTCTATATGTGCTCGTTCGCGTCCGCCATGAAGCAGATCTCTGCTTCATCAGCTTCTTTTGGGGTCCACAGGTGACATTAGGGGTCCTAGAGACCCCTAATGTCTCCATAAAGAGGACCTGTCAGTAATAAAAAAAATAAAAGTAACATATAAAAAAGTAAAATAAAATAAAAGTCACATATAAAAAAAGGGGAAAAAACCCCAAAATGTTTAACTCCCCCACCCCCACGTTTACGCGCCTATAAACGTAAATGCGCGTCCGGTGCCCCAGCGCGCAAAAATTACAATTGCGCTACACATGTTACATATCGCCGCGAACGTCGCAGTGAGAGCAATCATTTTAGGGCCATCAATCACTGATAACACTAAACTGATGAGCGGTAACAGCTTTTAAAGCGTCGCCTATGGCCAATTTTGGGTATTATCGTTTTTTGAGGTTTCGCGCGCGCACGCAATTTTAAGGCTTGACATGTTTGGTGTCTTTTTACCCGACGTGACCCCATCTTTTATATTTTACCAAAAAATTGGGTAATAATAAATGTTTTATCATTTAATATAGGGGAAACTGTTTTTTTTAATTTTCGGTAATTGTTCCTTAATATAGTAAAAAAATAAATACCACCAAAAGAAAGCTCTATCTGTCCCCAAAAAAGGGTATAAAATTCATTTCAGTACAGCGCTGCATGACGGAATAAATGTCAGTCAAAGTACCGCAGCGCTGAATACTGAAAAATGGCCTGGATGGGAAGGGGGTTTAACACCGCGGATGTCAACTGGTTAACTTGGAATAATGCTTAAAAGAACACAAACATTGCATTACCCAGTATATTTTCTTATAATATATAGATGGCAACCTGATGAACAGAATGGTATCTGGTTCTAAAGTAAGGACCAATTTTGATTATAACTTGATAAAATAGATTATTTTTTTAGAACCTAGATAGAGAAAGTCTATAAATAATATGTGATAAATACTGGAATTGAGAAAGGGGTCGCACAGTTCTAGAAAATGTCAACCTGTTTCAATTTCTCATGGATCCAAGACTAAACATGTCTTAATTACCTCACTTGCCTTGTTTAACTTAGTAGAGTTTTGAATGACCTGTACAAGATGCAGTCCTCGATCACCATTATGGCACTTCTGAGCAATGAGTATGGTGGACTTAAAATTGTTAATTATAAGTATACACTGACTCCCAAGAAAAAAAAAGAGTACATAATGTTTCTGTTCATCAAGGCATCATTTGTTGATTATTGCCAAGAAGTTCTCCACCATGACCTTGTGAGAGAAATCCAACAACTGAATGTTTCTAAAATATGCACCTTATTTATTAATCATTATAGCTTCAATTCATCATAAATACACCTTTATTACATGACATCATGAGTGGCATATCACTTATATATATTTTATTTTTTTTAGCCGTGCCTGCGTGGTTCGTGGCCAGGTGATTGCTGTAGATGGGACATCACTTGTGGGTGTCAATGTCAGCTTTGCACATCATAACGATTATGGATATACCATCAGCCGTCAAGATGGAAGGTATAGTTGTAATATTGCAAACACTGTTCAATTATTGATTACTTTTTCCTTTTCACAGAACAAGTATCTTTAAAAATGGCCACATTAGTCAAACATACACATTCAATGGCTAAATTCTAAATTTGTGACTCCCAGCAGTTTGGAGATCTGCTTTAAGATTTCCGAGAAAGAAAAATCTTGGAATGGCAATCTATGCCCAACTTTAGAGACAGCCCTGAATTATAACTAAGCAGCAAACTGTACAAAAACCTGACACATGAAAGGATTATAGATCAGAGAAAAAAACTATTTGCTTGCAGATTGCACTGTGGTCAAATAGCAAAAACAATACCGTAAAAATTATTAACTGCAGCCAGTTGAAAACGTATAAATTGATATATGCTTAGTTTTGTCTGCTCACAACAACACTGTTATGTTAGTTAATGATTTCTGCCTTCCTATATTTTACTTTTAGTTTTGACCTTGTCACTATTGGTGGTATCTCAATCACCCTCCTTTTTGAGAGGTCGCCTTTCGTTACTGTGAAGAGAACATTGTGGTTGCCCTGGAACAAATTTGTTGTTGTGGAGAAAGTGGTAATGCAGAGGTCAGAGATGGAGTCCCCATTATGTGACATGAGCAGTTTTATCAACCCAAATCCAATTGTTCTTTCTTCACCATTAACAAAATTTGCCGGATCATGTGCACAACGAGGAATAGTCATCCCTGAACTGCAGGTAATTTATTTATAGTGAACCATCACATTTCATATGCATGCATATCGAGCCAGGTTTTAAACAAGATGGGATATGTAACATAATTCCATATTTATCCCTCCTTTTTGTGAGAAATGGGGAAATGTGTCCTTAGCACGTTTCAGTAAATCTATTTATCACATTGATACATTTTGCATGTACAGCAAAATGCAGCTTTTATATTTATATGTTCCATCAGGAGCCTGCATATAGCTATAAAGAATAGTAAATAGTGATTTCCTGTACAAATTCCAGTACCGTATTTATGTTTTGTAGATGAAACCTGGTTGCTATGTATGTCCTCCCAGCTGGAAAATAACTCTGTAGCTCATGCAGATGAATCACTAGAAAGCTTGTAGAATGATGCAATCCTTGAGTTTGACCCTTAAGATTTACTTCATGCAGGTTTAATATACATCCTCTTTTTCTGACATACTTATTGCTGCTTTCCTTTTATCATCTCCACAGTCAATAACATAAATCTATGGAGCCTCAGCCAGCCACAAATACATCTACTTACTTTTCATCTACCCCAGATGCTAACTTATTGAAGCTATCTCAGCTATTCCCATTGTCTATTCTTGCATAGTATTGCTCATTGTTCTATTATGGTAGTGAACTCCTACTTTTATTTTGATATGCAGTATTTACATAATAGGTTATCTTGGTAATTAGCAGTTTCTTTTGTTATTCATTAGTCACTGTTTTAAGCAGTGTGCTTTAGTATTAAAGGAGAACTATGGGGTTAAGGCTTTTCCCCATAGTTCTCCATGGGGTAACGGGAGGACACAGCGTCCTCCCATCACCCTAGGCTCAGTATACCGCAAGCTGCTGTTCGCGGTATACTGAGACGCCGCAGCTGAAGTGGATCCTAACAATTATCTAGAATTATCTATCTAGAGGCAAAGTCAGCTGTACCCGCCCCCTCCCCCGTCCGTTCCGCCAGTCAGCGCTGGCGAATCAGAGCGGGGAGGAGGGAATCCAGCCCCTCCCCTGTCACTTCAGAGAGCCGTGACAGGATCAAGAGGTGAGCGAACGCCGTTATGTGTTCGCTCACCTCCCGATCTACTGAGCTGACCTGTGACAGTGTCATTGCCACAGGTCGACTAGAACTATGAGGTGAGTGGAAAGCACTCACCTCATAGTTCTCCTTAAAATTAAATACTTAATTTTTAATGGTAGCCAGCCTAAATTTTAGATTAGACTGTGTCTGAGAACTGGATTGATCACATGACTATGATGAGTAATGAAAGAATGTTTATGGCTTTCAGTCTTTATTTTGACCATGCAAAGGAATTGATTTACTAAAATGAAGGGAATGCTTACTTGAATAAATTGACATTATCTTCTCATTGACTATCCAATTATGTTCAAGGAAATGTAAAGCTGATCTCTAGCCACCTCAATAAAGTTTGCATTTGTGATGTCCATTTATATTGTAAAGTATATATACTATATGTGAATTCCAAAACTTCCAGAAAAGCATAATTTACTCAGAAGCAGTACATTAAAAAAAACACAGCACTTTTTTGCAGTGCATATTAAAGGGCCACCAGAGTCAGATTTATATTTTCTGCCCCAAACTTTCTTGTACTACCTCCTCCCCTACTGCCCCAGTTAAATGACAGGATAAGGCACAACAGCCACACAAGGCACGTCAAGGCTCACGATGCAGAGACTCGAAGAAACAGTTTTCCCTCTTTGTGTAGGTATGCCTAAAACAGATGACTGTAACCGTAGAGTGTCACCCTATGCTGCTAGTAGTTTGCTTCTATGTGAAAGGACCCAAAAAAGTGCTTTGTAGATCCATAGTAGACTATTCCCACAACACAAACTTATTATGCTGGGGAAGCAACAGCAACAGAGAAGACAATTTTCTCTGCCAGACAGGCCATTATCCTAAAGCTACTAAAAGTACAGTTATCATTTAACATCTTTTGTCCTATGTGGGTTGCCCTTTAGGGCAAAATGATACAACAAAATGACAGCTGGTTGTTCTGTTCTATGGGATTATTGGAACTGTCCGGACTTGGAGCCATTGCGGGTCTGTAGGCACAGATATGTACTGTATATAGCTACTGACAAAATGTACTTATAAACCAACATCCCATGTGCCTACTATTTCTCCATAGCTGTTGTGAATGTTGTACATTTCATTCTGGGTACAAAAAGATGTCTCAAAAGATGACCTGTACCATGACCATGTTCACCTAACTATGCCCAGGCTTAATAACATAAGGTGCCTGGTCCTACCTTTAGCATATTTCCTCACCTTGCTGATCCTCCACCCTAACCCCAGTCAAAAAAAAAACACGCAAAACAATACTTCCAGGCATGAGGACATGACACCCTCTTCCTTCCAAAGTGACTGAGTGGCCAGTTGTTGTTAACTAATACAATTCTGTTCACTGAATTAGTAACTTTATCATCTTGCATCACATCCAAACTTGCAAGATGTTTAGAAGTTATTCTGTACATTGCTAAATTAGCAAATTTGGAAGAACAAGCCAGAAATAAGAACATCATGTTTTGGTTCGTCTTTTCTCATGTAACTTTGCTCCTTTTGATTTGAAACAATAATACGATGCTTTCTAGTTTGACTTCAGTTAGTTCAGCGCAGTTCAGTTAATGGACATGCAGTGCTGTAATAGAATTTAAAAATTCATGGGATGAGCACAGCTAGATGGAAAAAGTTTGCACACAAGAAAAAAAGAGGTCAACAAGTTTTCCAGTAAATTGGGGTTATATGGACAGTATTGTCCAGGTTTCTGTGTTCAATCTAGGATGATAAGAAAAGAAGAGTGCTTTGTTATAGTAGAATAAAATGGGGTCAGCTGCTGCCCTGTACACAGTCTACCTGCTGTAAAACAGTAATACATTGCTCAGCCCTAAATACATGCTCGTCTGTGACATGTCAAATGGTTTTATATTGGTTCTTTAGTTATTGGTTTCAAAAGTGTTGATTGCTGTATATTAGGCAATAGTGTTAAAAAGTAAACACCAGATATTTCTGCAATGATTAAAACATGGCTACCTGAGTTTACCTAATAATTACAAAAGTCTTTTTTTTTTGTTTTATTTATTTTCAAAAAGTATTATTCGAAGCCGAACTCCAGGCAAATGAAAAAAAATCAGCTATGTAAACATGTTAGGTCTTAAGAGGTGTATGCCACTTTTTTGTCATTACTGAATTATTTAAGCATTCATTGAGGCTGGAAGTATAGCAAGAGCAGCTATAAGAGCTGTGGCGTGAAAGCCTGTCACAGTGCTGGATGTATACTGTAGCGAGAACTATACTATCTGGCCTATATAAATGGAAAGTACTACAATAATGACAAACATACTTAAAGTGATATGCACCTCTTAAGACCTGACTTATATTTACACTGCAGATTTTAAGGTAAATTTTCTGCCTGGAGTTCTGCTTTAAATCTTGTAAAGGGCTAATGCATTTTAGTGAGACAGGACATTCTAGAGTTCACCTGCTGGTGATATCTATTGTCAAGGTGCATTCAAACAGATAAAGTGGTGCTCTAATAAAGCCTCACAATATCAGACTGCCAAACCAAACGTTTGCTAGCTATGGCTCCAAAACCATCACAGTACGAGCAGAGCGAAAAAAGAGACCTTTATAACAGCACAACCACAAACATAACACAAACACAGGCTTATGATTCAGGGGCATTTTCTGGGTGCGGTGGACCTACTTGCAAGATTATAAGTTGGGTCACCTTCCTCGTAAAAAGTGGCACACGCAGCACACTGTAGCATAAAGTGGAAGTGGTTTGTATCTTGGTTAAATATAGTCTGAGATGACTTGCATAGTCTAGAATGGGCCAGGGCAGAAATGGGAATGTACAACGCAGTGAAGAGAATGAGGTGAAACAGTGAATGTACAGCACAGTGTACAGAATTAGGTGGTATGGAATAGGGATTGTACATCACAGTGTACAAAATGAGGTGGTATGGAATAGTGAATGTACAGCACAGTGTACAGAATGAGGTGGTATGGAATAGGGATTGTACATCACAGTGTACAGAATTAGGTGGTATGGAGTAGTGAATGTACAGCACAGTGTACAGAATGAGGTGGTATGTGCAGTTCAGTTAATGGACATGCAGTGCTGTAATAGAATTTAAAAATTCATGGGATGAGCACAGCTAGATGGAAAAAGTTTGCACACAAGAAAAAAAGAGGTCAACAAGTTTTCCAGTAAATTGGGGTTATATGGACAGTATTGTCCAGGTTTCTGTGTTCAATCTAGGATGATAAGAAAAGAAGAGTGCTTTGTTATAGTAGAATAAAATGGGGTCAGCTGCTGCCCTGTACACAGTCTACCTGCTGTAAAACAGTAATACATTGCTCAGCCCTAAATACATGCTCGTCTGTGACATGTCAAATGGTTTTATATTGGTTCTTTAGTTATTGGTTTCAAAAGTGTTGATTGCTGTATATTAGGCAATAGTGTTAAAAAGTAAACACCAGATATTTCTGCAATGATTAAAACATGGCTACCTGAGTTTACCTAATAATTACAAAAGTCTTTTTTTTTTGTTTTATTTATTTTCAAAAAGTATTATTCGAAGCCGAACTCCAGGCAAATGAAAAAAAATCAGCTATGTAAACATGTTAGGTCTTAAGAGGTGTATGCCACTTTTTTGTCATTACTGAATTATTTAAGCATTCATTGAGGCTGGAAGTATAGCAAGAGCAGCTATAAGAGCTGTGGCGTGAAAGCCTGTCACAGTGCTGGATGTATACTGTAGCGAGAACTATACTATCTGGCCTATATAAATGGAAAGTACTACAATAATGACAAACATACTTAAAGTGATATGCACCTCTTAAGACCTGACTTATATTTACACTGCAGATTTTAAGGTAAATTTTCTGCCTGGAGTTCTGCTTTAAATCTTGTAAAGGGCTAATGCATTTTAGTGAGACAGGACATTCTAGAGTTCACCTGCTGGTGATATCTATTGTCAAGGTGCATTCAAACAGATAAAGTGGTGCTCTAATAAAGCCTCACAATATCAGACTGCCAAACCAAACGTTTGCTAGCTATGGCTCCAAAACCATCACAGTACGAGCAGAGCGAAAAAAGAGACCTTTATAACAGCACAACCACAAACATAACACAAACACAGGCTTATGATTCAGGGGCATTTTCTGGGTGCGGTGGACCTACTTGCAAGATTATAAGTTGGGTCACCTTCCTCGTAAAAAGTGGCACACGCAGCACACTGTAGCATAAAGTGGAAGTGGTTTGTATCTTGGTTAAATATAGTCTGAGATGACTTGCATAGTCTAGAATGGGCCAGGGCAGAAATGGGAATGTACAACGCAGTGAAGAGAATGAGGTGAAACAGTGAATGTACAGCACAGTGTACAGAATTAGGTGGTATGGAATAGGGATTGTACATCACAGTGTACAAAATGAGGTGGTATGGAATAGTGAATGTACAGCACAGTGTACAGAATGAGGTGGTATGGAATAGGGATTGTACATCACAGTGTACAGAATGAGGTGGTATGGAATAGGGATTGTACATCACAGTGTACAGAATTAGGTGGTATGGAGTAGTGAATGTACAGCACAGTGTACAGAATGAGGTGGTATGGAAGAGGGGATGTGTAGCACAGCATACAGAATGAGTCAGTGCAAAATAGGGAATGTACAGTGCAATGTAGAGAATAAGGTGGCCTGTAATAAGGAAAGAACAGCACAGCGTACAGAATGAGGTGGTGTGGAATAGGAAACGAACAGCCCATTGTACAGAATGAGGCAGTGTGAAATTAGGAACCCGCAGTACAGTGTATAGAATAAGGTGGTGTGGAAGAAGAAATGAAGAGCACATAGTACAGAATATATAGAATGAGGTGGTCAATTAACAGTGAAAGGAAAAGCAACACTCATGAACTCAACTCTCTGCCACTCTATTCCTTTGTGCTATCAGCATGTTCCTTTTACACATGAACACAGCTGCCTGGCCCTTGTGCCGCTCTGATCTCTCCCAGTCTACTACATTTATTTGTGATTTTTTTTTTCTTATTTGCCTGGAGTTTAACATCAAGATTTTATTGGATTAAAGACTGCGGAAGGATTACACAAATCCTATTGTGAAGTTTAAATTACTGTATGTGTATATTTAAAACAAAATATTGGGGGTTGGTGGTTATTTTGGCTTGAATTGTGAGTGGTTTTTATGGGCTAGGGCCATTGTTTTATAATCATGTTTTAATAACATTTTAATGGTTTATCTAATGTTTGGTGCTACACGCGTATTATGTAGGTCTATTCCTTCTCTTTTCAGACACAGAGACACTCTGTGTGCGCCTTTTTTATTTACTGAGTGTATAAATAAAGTCTAACACAGCTACAGTAGGGAGGATATGACTTGGTGGGGAAATCGCACTGCCAGGCTTGTGGTCACTTTGACCGGAGGCGTGTAATTCATTAAGCAATGTAAAGATAGCAGGAAAAAGTGGTAATAGCTTTGAATTTACTATTTTAAACTATTTTTTGTTTATACTGCTTTACAGGTGGTACAAGAAGAAATTCCAGTTCCATCTAGTTTTCTTAAAGTAAGCTATCTGAGCAGCCGAACCCTTGGATACAAGAGTCTTATACATATTATCCTCACCCACGCAACTATCCCTATTGGTCTAAGCAAAGTACATCTGACTGTGGCAGTGGAAGGACGACTTGTACAGAAATGGTTTCCTGCTGATATCAACCTGTTTCATACCTTTGCCTGGAACAAGACAGATATTTATGGGCAAAAAGTATCGGGTTTAGCTGAAGCACTAGGTATAGATTATTTTTATGTTTTTATATCGTAATGCATTATTATACTTCCAGAATGTTAATTTTTCTAATGTGTTTACTCGTGAAACAGGTATTCTAGGTTTAAAGCTGAAGTCTGGAATAGAAGTACATTTTCTGCATAACATCAGTTACAACTGAATATAATGATGCTAATGTTTTCTAATAAAAAGTCCAAGTTCAGAAGAAAAATACTTTTTTTAAATACATTTTTTTAAATGTGACATCATTATGGTTCAGCTACAGACAGTCACCCAAAGGAAGAATCAAGCAAACAGCACCATCACTTTTGCTCACTGTGCTGCACTTCTTGTAGAAACCCCCATCATTCCATCCCATCATGCATCAGGCATTGTAGTTGTGAATAGGAGGGGCCAGTGGGCGGTGATGCTCCTGGTCAAACAATGCAAGTGGGTGGGTCAGATTCCTGGCATCATTTAGGGGATTCACTAAGCTGCCAAAGGATTTAGCCGAATGTTCAGCTAATCCTTGGACTCGCTTCTGCTGCAGGAAATCTTCGGGTTCAGCTGAACTGAAGGGCTGCTGTAGTGCTTTTCACAATAGCCCGTACAACAGCTGAAGACAGCCAAAGCACACAGCCGAGCTGAACGCATATGCTTCGGCTTGGCACAGCCAGAGCTGGGAGAACGATGTGCCGAAGTGCACCGACTCCCTGCAAGTTTTTAAAAGATAAATGTAAAAAAACCAGGGCGGGGTCCCCTGACAATTCATACCAGGTCATTTAGGTCATTTAGGTCTTGTAGGAATGTTAGGAGGGACCCTCCTGTAAAAAAATGCATGGGTTTTCCCTCAAAAGTCATACCAGAGTCTAGTAGAAATTTTAAGGCGGACCCCACTTTTTTTTTCTCTTTTTTGGGGCCTTGGGGTCCCCCTTAAACCTTCTACCAGACCTAAAGGGTCTGGTATGACTTTTGGGGGGAACCCCACACATTTTGTTATTACATTTTCACATAGGGGGTCCCTCCTAACATTCCTACCAGACCTAAAGGCTCTGGTATGAATTGGCATGGGACTCTGTGCTGTTTGTTTGTTTGTTTTTTTTCTTTTTTTCACAATGACAATTTTATTCTGTTCGCTACCTCTGAGATAGCAAACAGAATGACCAAGCCGAATGCTGAGCTGATCATTCAGCTATTTACTCTCTGCTATTCGACCCCTATGAGAATAAAGGTGAACAGCAGTGACTGAACTGCGGAACATTCGTTAGATGTTGCATCGGCTGAGACGAAGGTGAGCTGAGGCGAGAGCTCTTAGCTTCGGTTCAGCCTAACATTCAGAGGTTGTTCGGCTGAACTGAAGGTGAGTGAAGCTGTCCAAATGCAGCCGATGTATGGCTGAAAATAGCCGTACCAGGCTGCTGTGAATGACCGAACAGGCTTCGGCTCCCTTCACTTTGGCTCGGTTATTCATTCGGCTGCCTTCAGCAGCTTAGTGGATAACCCCCTTAATGTACAGAAAACAATTATGCAATAATGGTGGGCAGGTAAGTCTCTTGGTCTGGCCTGTCCACAATCAGGGTATCACTTGATGGACAAATGGCAATGCTTTGGAGATTGTCTTGGAATGGGGATTGGAATGATATGGATTTTTGTGGACCTGTTGCTTTGTTTGGCGTATGTGCATTATATTGCTTAGTGATCCAGACACATTTATTTTCTTTTGTTTTTGTTTTCAAGTAAAATGTTGTCATATGCATGCCTTAATGCACAACATCCGTATTATTTGGATGATTATGACTACACTATACAATAGTACAATGTACAATCAGCAAGGTTCAGTGGATTAAAATTCCAGTGTTCATATCAACCATGCATACAGGTGGTCCTGTGATCTAAGATTACCAGGATGCATAACTACAGTCACAACAGCTGCTATTGAACCTAGGGGTTGGGGGTGGGGCCCCTATTTGGGTGGCTGCTAAGGCAAATTAAACAGTGAAGTCTCCAGTGTAGAAGAGCCAACATCAGACATACAAGAGAACAAATAAGGGACAACCTAAAATACAGTTCACATTATTTTACTGCTCAGATGAGTCACAATAGCCAATTAATTAAAGGAATAGTTAACCCAGTCCACTTTCTGTAAAATAGTGGCCTCCCAGCAGCCATAGTTTGAATATGTGGTGGAACTGTTAGGACTAGCTGACAATCCTGAGTAGGCAATGCTACTGTTTTTGTTTCTTTAATGTTGGCATTGGTACATGGTCCCACATGGTAGTGTCTGGCTTCACATGCCTTTTGTTTGACAATAAGGATGGAACCTGATTGGTAAATATGTACGCTGCTCCAGATTCTGTCTGCCCCAGTTTTAGTAAATTGCCTCCATAATATTTTTACAGTTACACACTCACTACATTGCAAAAATGGACATGTGTGGACAGGCCCTAAACAAAAAATACTACATATTACATATATTTATTATAGATTACATAGAATGGAAGTCCAGGATAAATTATTAAGCCAGGCTTGTTGGAACTGAATGTTGAAAAAAAATGGTCTTTTAGTAGTCACTTTTAGTAGTGAAGAAATCTGACTGTGTTTTGTAGGTATGATGCTATTTTTGGAAGGCCTTGTGCATAACATGACCCCCAGCCCTCTATCAGTTTCCTTTATTTGCAATTCTATTCCTTCAGCCTCTTCTTCCTGACTTGCAGGCTGCCACACAGCTATTTATAAGAGACAGCTTACCAGGAATATTCTTCATTATTCTTGCACTTTGTCAGATATAAAATCTGGGCCTGGCAGATTTATTGCCCACCTTAATTACAAATTCCTTTAATCATTTATCTTATTTTAAGTTCCTGTAATGAGCAACTTCTGAAGGTGGAATATGTTTGGTTTAAGCATAACCATCTTCTTATATATTCATGTAGACTTCTATTTAAGAATAAATTTAGCTTTAATTATATTACTTGTCAACATGATTCGCAATTCAGAAAGGGATGACTGCATGATCTGTATATTTTTATTAAGCATGTTATGTCTACAGAATTATAGGACTCATTAAATTGCACAGCTTACTAAGAAATTAAAGAAAGTCTATACTGAGTGGAATACAGGGATACCACTGCTACCCTCCTTGTAAGAATACTGGTTGCCTCTGTGTCTCTGTTTCTGGTGTGTTCTTTATCACTGGGGTTGATTTACTAAAGGAAAAGAGGCAGATCACTGTGAATAAGTCAAAAGTAAGTTTAGTTTAATCATCCAGTTACATGCTATCACAAATCCTCATTTTTATTTTCTCTTGCATATGATTGGATAAGCCTTTACTATGGTTAGAGAACATTAACTGTCCTAAAGTGAACAATTTTTACTCTATCCATATTGTGCCCAAAGGTATGTGGCAAAATAAGAAATAAAAAACCCAATAAGTATTTCATGTTCTTGCACATTACACCCAGAATTATGTGAATAGAGTGGTATTTATACACTGAGTAGGTCCAGCTCACCCCTGACAACAGTGCACTTAGTTAAAATTTTGAAATTTGTGCAATATACTGAAGCATCAAGTTCCCAAAAATATGATTGGAAGTGTGGTCAGTGCATAACTTGCACCTGTGCACAATAGTAATGTCATGTTATATTTATGGTGCCCATTGCTAAACTTAGCACGCCTCGCCCAACAGTTTTGTTAAAACCTTTACAACTGTGCTTGTCTTTTGCATTATGATGATGGCCAAAAGGGTTACACTTTGTTGCAGAGGTAATATTAGGGTGACTTGAGCAACATCTATATGTAGAAATGCAAAAACATATTTTAAAGGGAGCATAAGAACTGTGCATATCTGGTTCCATTTTCCAGGGTATTAGCACACTCATATAAGTGTTTCACCTCCTAACCCCCGGAGGTGGATTAGATACACCCAAAGGTCAGATGGGCTGACATTTCCCCTCATGGATGGATTTTTTACTTGTAGTGAAGATGTAAACAGATGGATGCCAGAACTTTTAAATAGTTAATAGAATTATTTCAGGCCAGTAAACTCTGGAGAGAGATTTAGGGCACAGCATGCCCCAAAGAACAACAACAAACTCCGGGCTCTACTTACAGACCAGCACTCTCCTGACTTTTTGACTGTAAGTAGTTGCATCATATGTACTTCCTGGAAAAGCCACCAAACTGTGAGATCCAAGCCTGCTTCTCACGACGCAAGTTCACCCCTGGTGCTCCCATCCAGGATTCGGTTCCGGAGAATGAAAGCTTTAAGACCCAGCATTGACCTACCTTTCTCAGGCACATGTGTCCTACTTAGGCAGCAGGCCTGGGAGGCAGAGGCGTAACTAGAACCTTCAGGGCCCCAGTGCAAGAAACCATGAAGGGCCCCCCCCCACCACATGGTTAACAGGAAGGCTGCCGAGGTCCCCAGCAAGCGCGGGACCTTGGGCAGCTGCTTGTTTAAAATGTTAGTGCAGTGTTCTGTCGAGAACGCCGACCCAGTATCTGCGCTTACGTACAGACGGGATTACCAAGGAAACCGGCATTTATTTACAAAGTATTCGTTTGTAATTGTTAATTGTGACCGGTAATAATATACCGTCCCTGGCAGTGAATGATGGGCAGCATATTATTGACGGTCACAATTAACGATTTAAACGAAATACTTTGTAAATAAATCCCGGTTTCCTCGATAATACCGGTCTGTGCGCAAGCGCAGAGGCTGAGGTCGGCAAATTCGATTACATCAGCATGGAACTGCATGTCCCGGGCGTCAGGCGATAAGTAAATGCAAAATGTTATCCAAAGCTGTGGTAGAGAAATAGATTATATTGGGGAACATTACAGTGTAATATTCCCTAATATAATCAATTCCTCTCATTTAAAGAAATTTCAGCACAGTGTGCAGGGTCTGGGCTTCTCATTCTTAACCCCCCCCCAGCGTCCGTCGGTCTCTCTCACTCCCTCCCCCTTCTCTTCCAGTGCACACCATGCATTCTCTCTAGCTGGTCAATAAGCACATACATTAAGTGCATCAAACTAAGCTAGATGAAAGGCATGATGGTCCAAGACAGTTGCTATGAAAATAATTTCACAGAGCAATACAACTTGCATAAATGTCTGGTGGACAAAGTCCTGGACACAGTGCATGACTAGGAAAGCACAGAAGGCGCCTGTTCTCTTCTGATGAATGCTTAATCGTTATTCTTCTACACCGCAAAATGAATTGATGGGTTATGAAATCTGAAAATGAACGGTAGTCAAGTTATTAATAGAGGATTTGGAAAAAAGCCATGGACAGAATCAATTACTTTTTTTCACGTTAATTTAATCTGGCTGCCTTTTCTGCAAGAGAAGAGTCTGACTTCATTCTGAGACTGTTTTCTGCCACCCCCTGAGTATTCCCGCAAAATGTTTATGGTTCATTTCAGTGTCAGAAGCTTAAAAAGCTTTTCTTAATCCAACTACATTTACAGGATAATTCAATAAACCAGAGAGTAGACCTGAAGTACAAAGTGCAGTAACCTATAGCAACTAGATTTCAGTGTACTGAAATTAGATCAGGAAAAAGTAAATGATGAATGGCCACTATAGGTTACTGCAGTTTTATTGTTGCCTTGTTGAGTCTGTGAAAGTTCATAAATGTCTGATGTACACAGGCAGACCCATTTTAAATAAAGCATAACTCCCTATCAGTGAGTAAAGAAGTCTATCCCATTTAACAGCCAGATGTGAGGGTGGAAGAGCGTAGGCCAGCGCTCCATGTTACTAGCTTTGGTTGAGCATCCTTGCTTTCAGGGCCCTCTTTAAGACAGCTAAAGCTACATGCAACACCTGATAACATCAAGGAGATAGTTCAACAACCAAATGGAAAACTAATGGAAAATTACAATAGTGATGTTTTATATCTGTTTAATTAAGTATAAAGGATTCATAGAGCATTGTGGATGCTTTAAAACAAATCTGAACCTAACAGAAATGTCACAAGGCCTCGCATAAACAAAGCAGACACAAAGCAGAGAGAAGGGAAGCAGAGTATCTCCTCTGCCTCATTCAGCTGTGTGTACCTTTTAGTTTGAACTATTGATGCCTGTAAACAATGAGCTTCTTTCAGCAAAGCAGTTAATAATAGCTGTGGCTCCCACCCTCCTATAGACCCTCTTGCGACACAATTTTTAAGGATATGGGATTCGGTGAAATATGTGGGCCGTCTTTTTTCTCCACATCTTCCTCTTCTGTTGCTTACTCATTGCCCTCTCTTTTACCCTGGGATGGTTCACCCAAAAAGATTTTCCTGGTGGACGACGACTGGTTTGGAAAATGTATTCTCCATGCTCACGCCCAAGGGGATTCGTACCTTAACTCAGCTCAGAGAATCATTACCACATAATCATAATCATCAACCACACACTGAATTATACCACTACCAACAAATTTGTAACTTTATACAATCCTTGAGTTGCTTAGCTCCACCACCCTATTCTATTACCCCTTTTGAACACAGATGTAGGTGTGATCCACACTCGCCCGGTCTGATCCCGTTAATCCAATCCTCCCTATCCGATAATCTTTCACAATCCACTATGCTCTACCAAACTAATTGGGAGGATGATTTGGGTTCCTCTATTTCTGAAGCTGATTGGACGGCAATTTGGGGAAATATAAATTCTTGTTCTCGAAATGTCCTAACGCAAGAAAACTTCTATAAAGTATTGTTTCACTGGTATTACACACCGTCCCGCATCCACAAATTCTTTCCCTCTCAATCCCCTCTATGTTTTAGGAGGTGTGGTCATCTTGGCACCATGAGACATATTTGGTGGGACTGTCCTAAAGCTAAACGTTTATGGACCCGAATTTATGCTCTAATTAATGTAATTTTAGAATGTGACCTGACCAAAAATCCGTGGGAAGCGCTTCTACATAAGCCAATATTGGGTTTACGCAAACATCAACAATGCCTGATATCTAATATATTCATGGCCACAAAACAAACAATTGCTAGATCCTGGAAATCCCCTGAACTTAGTTTTGTGGAGGTTAAAAATCGTATTACTGGTGTGATGATAAATGAGCATCTGACATCTATCTTGGATGATTCCTTTGCTAAATTCGAAAAAATATAGGAACACTGGACCACCTATGATAGATCCTTGAACTTTGACCCGGTCAATCTAAAGATTTCGTGACGAGTTATTTGCTGCATTAGAGGGCTGGTAACCGCTGAGAATCAGTGGTTACCATTCATTAATGGATGCCTCATTATAGAGGCATCCATTAATGAAAGGGTTAACCTTTTTCAGATACCTGATACTTAATATCGGGTGTCTGAGAGTCAAAGCAGAGCGGGCAAACATGCCGGAAAAAGCCGGCATTCTGACAGCTCGTATAGATCTAGAGATATCTCTCTCGATCGTATACTGGCTTTTTTTTTCTTTCACTTTCAGGAATAGATACATAATGTATCTATTCCTGAAAGAAGAATGTTTCCGTTTTCTGATCATTGTTGGAACGATCAGAAAACCTTTAGTGACAGCTGAATCCTGAACTGCTGCAGGATCAGTGTCACTAACTTATTATTGGCTGTTCTGAAGTTTGAAACAGCCTAATAATAACCAAAAATTTATTAATTTATCAAGCAGTAATATTGAGATTATTTCACAATTACTGCTTGATATAATTAAATAAATACAATAAAATAGTGAAAAGTGTAAAAAAAATAGTGAAAAGTGTAAAAAAAAATATAGTGAAAAGTGTAAAGAAAAAAAAAGTGTACAAAAATAAAAAATAAAGGACAAATAAATTAATGTATTTATTGCATTTTTTTAGCTGTGCTGGTTCTGTAAAAAAATACTACAAAACAAAACTGGGAAAAAAGTGTTTTTTTAACGTTTTTTCCTCTTTTTTTATATTTTATTTGTGAGGCGTTAGACACACATATGTGATATAAATATGTAGCCCTATCTGTCCTCTGAAAAACAATATATAATATGTGTGGGTGCACTTTGTAAGAAAGTATTACTCACGTGGAAGAATCACACAGCAAAAATGTCAAAAGTGTGTCAGTCATTTACGAACAGAATGGTAGGTTTATGGTAGTGCACTCTATTGGTTGTTTAGTGGTTTCATCTATTGATGGTTTATAGTAATTTCCTCTATATGTTCTTTGTAGCTATCGGTCCTACTTGTTTGTTCATTACTAGTTAAAACTGTTTTACGTATTTATCACAACATTTTCAGTTTACTATCACTATGCTATGCTTTTTGACTTGTTTCAATATGGTTTCTGTTTTATTATATTATCTTTTCGAAAACAATAAAAAAAATTGTGAAAAAAAAAGAATAGCTTGGTAAACTTGTTAAAAAGGAACTTGAGCTTTAGTGTCAGTACAGGTAGACTTTCAATAAACTGACTAGCACAGTTGCAATGTTTACTGGATAGTATAAAGGTTCACTGAATAGTTGTACTTGTTAGCGGTAGTTTCGGATGAAAATAGACTGCTTGATGTCTCCTGCATAGTTTAGTTTCATTCTAGATTTTTAATTGTTTAAAGTGACCCTGTGCTGAAGTCCCCCACAGTGCTCAGTAGTTACTCCTGCCAACCTCCACCTCCACATTACCACTGTGTTCTGTGACGCAAAGGTCAGTAGGAAGGCAACTGAGAGTTGTGGGGACCCAGAAGACCGTGTTTGCTGCCCAGAAGACTTCAGTGGGAGGTTTCACTTAAGCAGAGCAGCATTTGACAGTGCAGACAGAGGGAGATATAAGTATTTAATCTCTTTTTAACAGTTACCTTTTTGGCAGAGTCGCTTTAATATAAATATATTGTTCACATGTTCTGCTTATTACGTATAGTCTTAAATGATTAATAGGTATAGAATAAATGTGTTATGGTTAAACCTACATTAAAAGTTCCTAAAACAAAAATAACCAGTTATAAACTGTTGAAGATCTGCAACACTTTCCAGCCAAGCTATCCATTTTATCCTTCCCAGCAAGGAAGATGATCATGTAATGGCAATTGGTCTATTCTAGATTTCCAAATAGGACTGTAAGTGTGCTCCGTAATTGTAAGGAATAATATGCCCCCTAGTTACTTTGTGCTTTCAGCATTCTCTGAGCTGAAATATGACTTATCTGTGCTGTAGGCAAACAGTAATAGATGCGATTTCACTTGGTTGCTTTTTCATTTGGAGATAACATGTCTGCTGGCTGAGAAAAAGAAAAATGTTGCAAATTCTTCATAAAGACATATAAACATCAGTGATTTATATTTGTAATAAACAAATATTGAAGTCATCAGATCTGAATTGTGAATGATCAAGTTACCTGTAAACTAGATCATATTGTTTGCAATAACCACATGCATTAAAAGAAAGACATGGATTTACACTGTTATTTTGTTTTTCTTTTTTTTATGAAGTATCTGTTGGATATGAGTATGAGTCATGCCCTGATCTTGTGCTGTGGGAAAAGAGGACAGTCACCTTGCAAGGCTTTGAGATGGATGCTTCAAACCTTGGAGGATGGACCTTCAATAAACATCATATACTAAATTCTCAGAATGGTAAGTGCTTTTTGCATTAAAGCTGAACTTCTGACAAAAAAAAAATACACATTTGAAATGAATATATATGCAAGTTGTTTTATCTGGTAAAAGATATGTAATTCTGTCCAACTAGTCTTGTAGTGCAGCCACCACTGCCAAACAGACCTCTCTGTAAACTTCAGTACAGTGGACAAAACAGCCCGGTCTAGGATCCACCCTATCCTGTGATTGGAAAATATAGGAGCAGCAACAAAAAAACACACTTTAAAGTGACATTAAAGGCAAAAAAAAAAATTCTCCCACCCAATGTAAATGTTAGCACTTACCTTAAATGATGTCTCTTTTTCCGATCTTCCTCTTCTTTCCCCATGTTTTCATCTGTCCCTCCAGCGGTGTGACGTCACTCCGATCCAGCGCCGACTGCTTTGTCTCTCCGATCCAGCGGTGTCTGCAGGCGGTTGCACGTGTCCATAGACTTACCTTGCGTCTCTGCTCGTCTCCCGGCCGAGAATCGGAACTGCGCATGCGGCCGTATGAGCAGTTCCTGATTCTCGGCGCAGGAACGAGCGGCGATAACGAGGTAGGTTTAAAAGGATTTTAAGCGTTTTTTGTTTTTTTTACACTTCTTGCCTATATCTACTGCATGCTAGCAGTAGATATAGGCAAAAAAAACAGAGGGTTTAGAACCCCTTTAAATTCCCCAGCACTTCACCCCCGTTTTGCCAGTCATCTAAATTGACCTAATTTGATAAGTGAATTTAAAAAAGTACACAGTTGCACACATTTGCACACATATGTTGAAAGCACACCCCACTATGACGTTGCCTCTGCAAATGTGTTCTAGCTCTGAACTCAAGAGATATACTAAGGCACTAGAAGGCTTAAAGGATATTTAAACCCTCCCTTTTTTTTGCATATATCTACTGCTAGCAAGCAGTAGATATTTGCAAAAAGTAAAAAAAAAAAAAAAACAGCAGTTTAGACTCACCTGTGTTCCTTGCGTGGTCCCGTGCCGAAAATTATACATTTCTCGAGCGGCCGCAAAGGATCTTGGGGCGCACGCATGCGCAGTTCTCATTTTCATCACGACGAGGGACGCATGGTAAGTCTATGGATGCGTGCACCCGCATGCAGACACCGCTGGATCGGAGGGACAGAGCAGTCAGCGCTGGATCGGAGACCCGCCGCACCGCTGGAGAGAAGGCCGAAAATATCAGGAAAGAAGAGGAAGATCGGAAAAAGAGACATCATTTAAGGTAAGTGCTAACATTAACATTGGGGGGAGGGAATTTTTTTTGCCTTTAATGTCACTTTAAGTGCCGGTATCCACCCAATCCACAAGCAAATATTGCGTAGACTAGCCCAGTGGTTCCCAACCCCCGGGCCGCGGACCGCTACCAGTCCGTGGATCAAATGGTAGCGGGCCGCCGGGCCCCGCACTGCCGAAGCTTCATCAGCTTCTTCAGGGGGGTCCTAGGTGACATTAGGGGTCTTGGAAACCCCTGATGTCTCCATAAAGAGGACCTGTCACATGTTTTGCTATCACATAGAGGGGTTTCTTAGCCCCCTATGTGATAGCAATAAAGCTAAGTGAAAAGAAAAAAACAAATAGGAAAAAAAATTTAAGTTTCCAAAATAAAATTAAAGTCACACATAAAAAAGAATAAAAAAAAAACAAAAAAAATGTTAAAAGCCCCCACCCATACATACACGCATGCAAACATGCGTCAGGTGCGCATACCTGCAAAAACGATGATTGCGCCCATTACGCCGCACATGTTACATATCACTGCGAACGTCACAGTGAGAGCGATAATTTTAGGGGCATCAATCACTGATAATACTAAACTGATGAGCGTTAAAAGCTTAAGTTAAAGCGTCGCCTACGGTCAATTTTGGGTATTGTAGTTTTTTTGCAATTTTGCGGGTGCGCACAATTTTTAAGCATGACATGTTTGGTGTCTATTTACCCGACATGACCCCGTCTTTTATATTTTACCAAAAAATTGGGTAATAATCATTGTTTCCTAACATAATGTAAAAAACACTTTTCCAGAATTTTCTGTAAATTTTCTGAAATATAGAAAAAAATAAAAACCCCAGTGGTGAATAAATACCACCAAAAGAAAGCTCTATCTGTCCCCAAAAAATGGTACAAAATTCATTTCAGTACAGCGTTGCATGACAGAATAAATGTCAGTCAAAGTACCGCATCGCTAAATACTGAAAAATGGCCTGGCCAGGAAGGGGGTCTAAACATCTGGTTCAACATCTTGAAGTGGTTAAAGGACATCCAAAACGAAAAAAACATTTTTCTATAGTTGCTGTTGGCAAATTGAATCCTTTGGTGGCTTTTTCTCAAGGACATAAAACATTAGAAAAACGAAGCTGGTTTAACCCACCAAAAACTGACATTTTTTTGTGTAATTTTCATTTAGGACTACTCCATGCTAACTCTTTATAAATGTTTCCTACAAAGAATAGAAAATTCCCTTTTTACTATTTTTAAATGCACCAAATCCTCTAAAGTATAGCTGGCTCCCATAATTTCATGAGTTATGTTTATTCTCAGCTGGATTTTTTTTCGAAACCCATAAAATGGTTTTTCAAGAAGGTGTCAAGTTGATATTTAATGAAGCTCTCTAAAAGGAGAGATTTTATAGTTAAGTATTGCAGCTATTTGATTAGGTCACAGTCAAGTGTACTGCACAGTCACCTTTCTCTACTGCGTGTAAGGACCATTTTTCCACTGTTAAAAGACTGTCTTAAAGTAATGTTATAACTTAGTGTCATATTATTAGCTGCAGTGCCTGCTGTTATAAATTGTTATTATTATAATGTATTCAGAATTTTAAAAGATTTGACCTTCACAGTCTGCCCCCAAATGTAGATGTTTCAGCTTTGGAGTTTTGAAGAGAACATAAATTCCATTTTGACGGTGTGATAGCAATCTTTTTGTGTATGTGTTATTTCACTTTCATGATGTAGGTTATGTTAATGATGGTGACTATATATATGCATAAGATGGTAGCAGGTCTACTGCTTTTGATATTCCATCATAATTTACTCTTCGTTATGTGTATTTTAATTGACACTTAAAATTTTATGTCCTGATGCTTTACTCCAAGCAAAGCTGTTTCACTCTTTCACTTTACATGCCTAGCTACAAATTACGTATTTTCTCTCTGGTATCATTTTGCTGCCTCAATATATACTGTAGAAATGTCTTCATTTTTGTCTGTAGACCTGGTCATGTTTCTGAAACATATGGTTTACTTTTAATGTAACCCTCGTTTGCAGAGATACACTCTGTGTAAAATTTAAAAACGTATCAGATTTTAAGAAATCTGTAATGGTATAAATCTGTCACTAACCTGTAATAGCAAGCACCATTAGGCATCTGTGCAAAGCTCCAGCATTCTCCTAAAGTGACAATTCAGAAAACCAAGGTGTTCCAACAAACAATAATGGATTTCATCCAGGAAATTTGTGCCTAGCCCTGACATTCTAATGACCTCACAGTTGGTCAGTGATGTCAACTATAACATTGCTGGACCAGTAGGGAGACAGGAGTTTAAAAGGGAACATGGACATCATTATACAACCGTCTTATGTAAGTAAGTGGAGAGAGTTTTAAGTGTATGTATAGCTAAAACATTTTTCTTTAGTTTTGGATAGAGTGCGAAAGTTAGAATGTCTGTTACATTTTTATGGCTCTCTGTGTTCCCAATGTGGAGATTCACCCTCTCTATATGTTCTGGTGACACAAAGTGACAGAAATTCAAAATTTTAGGGTTGTTGCCAGGAGAGGTGAGGGAAAATCTTCTAGTGGTGACAACTAAGAGAGGAATTTTGCTCACTTTGCAGGACAGGAAGTTAAATATTCCCTGGTAAACAGACAGCAAAACAATAAAATTACATAATTGTTTTTCCTGCTCTACTCTTTTCAAACCTAAAAAAATTATTACAGAAAGGCTTGTCATGTGAAAAACGCCAAAAGCGGCACAGTGCAAACTGGCAGCAGACAGAGACAGCTCTAATTAGCTGTTTTAGATTTTATTTAACAGCTCTAAAGCTGCTAAAAACACTTGTTCAGAACATGATGCAGCTCCTCTTTGGAAACGTATTAAAAGTAACAGTTTTCCAACCCAGAGCAACACTGCATGCAGAAAAGGACCGTTTTGTAACACTTATGAATGACTGATTAGACGAGTTTTAAGAGGGGAGACCTCAGCTGGTCCACACGACAAGAGGTCAGGGGACAAATGAAGGCATTTTCCACTTTCAGATAAAAATTGTAATTTTGAAGACATGAATTGGCTATTATTATTATTTATTTGTATTTTGTTATTAGGAATTTTGTACAAAGGAGATGGAGAAAACATATTCATATCTCAGCAGCCTCCTGTGATCTCTACACTAATGGGAAATGGTCAGCAGCGAAGCCTCACCTGTTCCTCTTGTAATGGACCTGTTCATAATAACAAACTCTTTGCTCCTGTTGCCATGGCAACTGGACCTGATGGTAGCATCTATGTTGGAGATTTCAATTTTGTGAGAAGAATATACTCATCTGGAAATGTCATCAGCATTTTAGAGCTCAGGTACAGTTATAAAATGTCACTAACATTTTCAACCTGGGTATAAATCGCTTTAAAATGTCCCTGGGAGTTAAATAAAAATATGACACACAATGCTGGAGATATTCATGTACCTTACATAATTTTCTCTGATAAACTTTTACCATTGCCATAGGGGAATAAATGACATGCTGAGCAACTAAATTGCAGTTGTGATTTCATTGTAATTAGGCCATTAATTTCAGCAGTGGGACAACTATTGCCACGGATAGAATGGATCATGTGTGTTTCGATAAGGTTACCCCTTTCCTAGATGAAAATTCTAGTAGGGTCTGGACTTCTCTGGAGTCCCTGATGATGAAGGTGGGGTTTTCTGCAGGACATCTTCTAGAGTTTGGCCCCTGGCATTGTCAGTCTGATGAGACAGTTTAGACAGAGACAGTTTAGACAGAACCAGGCAAAGTACCACATTACAATGCTAAATTGGAATCAGGTCAAACCAAAGGTCTGGGCACAAAACATACACATAGCACAAGCCAGATTTCAAGCCATGTTGTAACCAAGCGTAGCTAAACAGAAGGCATTGTCTGTGTACAAGTTCAAGCTAGCAGGTGGAATTTAAGAGCATATAACATAGACAAACCAAGTTGTAACCCGCATAGCAGATGAGAGTAGTCACTATAATTGAAGCGTAACTGACTAACATTGTACAGCCTAGTGTACTGAGATAAATTTACACCTACTGTTTGACTGAGGTCAGGTGTGAGTCAATAGATGGTGTGGTGCACACTCAAGCACATTATGATGGAACAAACCGGGAAGAACACATAAGGAAATGAGTCACCAGTGGACTGTGAGAGGTAGGCAACTATGTATGGATTGCTACAGATGAAGTATGAATTAGCTGTCCAGCAGTACAAACATTACCTAGGGTGGATGTGGTATTTGTATGTGGTCCTGGTCCCCACAACTGGGTGCCAGTGAACCAGATCACAAATTAAGGCAACAAATAAAGTAAATCCTGCTGTCACTGTACCCCACATCATTGGGTGTGTGGGTAGCAGACATTGCTTTAGAGCTTGGTGAAAATTACCTTGATAAGACTTTTAAGTGTTTATTTTAAGCATTCCTAAGCAGTGAACTTGTGGAATCTCTCAGTGTGAGTAAACCATGGCATCCTAATGATAGCAGACTGAAGGCATTATTGTTTTCCGTCTGTTATGATGGTGCAGTTATTGATCCTAGGCCCAGTGAAAAGGAAGCTATACTATAGCAGTAGTGAAGTGTTAAGCTGCCAATACACCAGTATATTAGACTACTCAAATGTGTTATGATGATTTAGTGGGCCAAGACTGTAGTCATGCATTGACTGTGTACTTGAATGGAGGTAGTCATTCTTGACTTTTTTTCCATTTTTGTTGTTACACATTTACCTGCAGACATTCAAAGCATCGGCTATTATATTAGGTTTCAAATGGTCAGACCCATCTATATAGTTATTCACTGTAAGCGCACATTTACTGTATGTTTTCTTGGAATTTTTTATGATGATTGAAGCTCGTTTTTGGAACAATTTTGGAACAAATGTATATGTTTCCAATGTATTGGTAAAAGTGTGGAAAATTACACTTCTAAAGCAAGGGATTAGAGCTGGATAACCGGGTTTTGCCCTTATCTCTGCTGTTAAGGAAAAGGGTTTCTTTTAATTATAAAAAGGGAGTTGTGAAATCTAATGGGAATGAACCTTGAAATGGCCTTGGCACTGCCTAATACTATGAAATGTGCTAGAAATACAGTATATTAAATTCAGGTCGACAGCTGTTAGGGTCACCTAATGTTTAACGGCATAGTAAAAATAAAGTAGTTGAGGCTTGTGTGGGATGCTTTATATATGTGTATGGATACTTATACATCTGTGAGCATTTCTAAAATAATAATAATATTAATAGTACAATAATGAAATACTGGCATTAATAATAGGTGCCAGGAGGTATTGCCGGCTCTGTGGCATAGATTTGTTTAACAAGTTTGATTCTGGATTTGATTCTGGATTTGATTCTATGCAATCTGGCATAGAATATAGCTCATGGATTTCGTAATAAACATTTGTGCTAGTGAGCTGTCTGAAGCTGAAACTTCCTGGCAGGTATAGATCTCTCCTGTCTTATCAGCAGTGGTTGGTGGCAGATAACACGTTAACACGTGTGACGTTGCTGGGAAAAAAAGGCAGACAAATTGACAGTTCCATTTTACCTGTCTTATATTTTGGATGAAATCCCCTTTTCTGCCTCACATCAAGATATTGATGGCTCTGAGTAGATCCAGTAGATCTTTGGATCATCCCAGCCCACCTGTCTGTAACACATCACATGTCGCAATCATGCCTGTAAAGAAAAGTAGGGCTATTATTTTTTGTATGCACATTTATCTTTTTTTTTATTCATCAGCTTGTCTGTAAAATTTAGATTTATTTGTTTTCAGTTTTAACCGCTTGAAGACCAGGTATTTAGACCCCCTTCCTGGCCAGGCCATTTTTCAGTATTCAGTGCTGCAGTACTTATTCCGTCATGTAACGCTGTACTGAGATGAATTTTATACCATTTTTTGGGGACAGATAGAGCTTTCTTTTGGTGGTATTTAATCACCACTGCGGTTTTTATTTTTTACTATAATTAGGAAAAATTACTGAAAATTTTGAAAAAACAAAGTTATTTTTTTACATAATGTGAGGAAACATTTATTATTACCCAGTTTTTTGGTAAAATATAAAAGATCGGGTCACGTCGGGTAAATAGACACCAAACATGTCAAGCTTTAAAATTGCGCGCACCCGCGAAATCGCAGAAAACTACCATACCCAAAATTGCCCATAGGCGACGCTTTAAAAGATTTTACCGCTCATCAGTTTAGTGTTATCAGTGATTATTGTCCCTAGAATTATTGCTCTCACTGCGACGTTCGCGGCAATATGTAAAGGTGGCCATACACTCTACAACCATTGCAAGACTTTAGTCTTGCGATGGTTGTAAAGGGATTAAAAAAACGTACGATCTGCCTATCTTGGACAGGCAGATCGCACTCTCGATCATCGCAAGCCCGCCCCCCTGAGGGGCGGGCTTCCAATGACCGCAATGCTGAACGGGCAGTGTGCGCGTGCGCACTCCGGCCCGTTCAGCATTTGTCTTCCGAGCACCGTTCTAACCAGCCGAGAATCGTACGATTCCCGGCTGGTTTTCGAACATGCTGGTTCGACAGAAGACGTGCGACCGTACAGTAGAAACGGTCGCACGTCTCCGTTCACACTGCTCGATTATCGTACGAAAACCCGATCGCATACGATTATCGTACGATAATCGTGCAGTGTATGGGCACCTTTACATGTGCGGCGTAATGGGCGGAATCGTCGTTTTTGCACATATGCGCCCCCGACGCATGTTTGGATGCGTGTATGTATGGGTGAGGACTTTTAAAACATTTTTTTAATTTTTTTTATGTGTAACTTTACATTTTTTTGGAGGAAACTTTAATTTTTTTTCCTATTTTTTTCCCACTAAACTTTATTGCTATCACATAGGGGGCTAATAAAACCCCACATGTGATAGCAAAATATGTGACAGGTCCTCTTTATGGAGACATCAGGGGTCTCCAAGACCCCTAATGTCACCTAGGACCCCCCAAAATAAGCTGATGAAGCACAGATCTGCTCCATCAGCTTCGTTCTAGCTTCTGAAGCCGGAGAGTGACACAAGAATGCGGAAGTGATGTAATATATAACACTTCCGCTTTCTTGCAGCGGAGAGGGGACCGGAGGGAGCTCATGTGCCGATCTCCCTCTGATCCCCTGTGACACAGGCACCATGCTGATCCCGCGCTCGCACCGGGCACAGCGGAGCCCGGGACCAGCAGGACAATGGCGGTGGGGACGACCACGGAGGTGGGGCATCGATCTTTACCGCATACAAGCAATCTGCCGGCTCTATAGCCGGGGATCGCTTGCATGTTAATGGGCATCACTGCCTGTTTTTAATTATCGGGCATTTCCCGCCCACACGCGCCCACACGCGCCCAGCAGCGCGCACGAGAGGGCGTGTCTGAGCGGACGTCTAAAGACGCCCGCTCAGATCTAGAGAGCTCCCGGCCGGCCGTTTTTTTTACAATGGCCGGCCGGGAGGTAGTTAAAGTAGAACTGTGTTCAGGTTGTGGACCTTTAAGTACAGACATTCCTCGGTTACCGACTTACCTGCTTTGCGACCACTCGCACTTACGACGGACCGACGATCGACCTCCGACCTTCAGTGCGATGTGTCGCCGGCGGAAGTGATGTCCTCCGATCTTCACTGCGGGTCCCGGTAAGTACTTTCATTGCCCGTTGTACAGTACACTGTTCGGAACTGTACATCTGCAACGGTATACAGTACTGTACTAATGCAGTACAGTACTGTACTAATATTTGTTCTAATGCGAATTAAATTATACGCACCTCTGAGGTCAAGTTTTGTATATATCTGCGCCATCTGTAGTCTCTCTATCAGCTCGGGGATGAGAGGCTCATCGGCGATTCTACTTCCTGATTGCGGCTGCGGTCCCCCTGTGGAACGCAAGCCGCGATCGTTACACAGGGAGCCTGTCATGTGATCATTTGACCACCTGCCTGGCTTCCTGGTTGAATGGAAGCCTGGGAAACCACAGGCATGCTCCCTCACAGCTTTCCAGGCATGTGGACTCCGGCTGTTATGTGAGGAATGTAAGTGGCAAGTGCTGCTGTGCTCTGTATCGCTGAGCCGGTCACACTGAGGTCTTTGTGATATCTCCTCCAGGTCAGTGACTAAAAACACGGCACCTGCTGTTGCAGTGTCAGTGTTGCACTAAGGGTGATTAGGGTGTGCCCAGGCACACCCTGTGCACATGCCTATGGTTACATTAGAGATTAGAATACTGGAAGGCTGCTGATTCACTGCTGGGAGGGGAGGAGAGTAAGTTGAGCTGGCTCAAAGATGTTAATGATTTTGTTGTAAAATTTAAAG